CTGGGGCCATGGCATGCAAGCAGCCTGCATGAGCCCTGCTGGACTTTTAGTGGCCTGGAGATTGTAATCAACTGCCAGAGGCTCCAGGATCAGTCAATCATGGCAGACAAGCTGGTGATCACTAAATTGTATATGATTATGGATTTAATTGGGGAGCCCCTGTAGCCCACTGCTGCAGCCCCTACAGCTCCTGTGTTAATCTGAGCCCTGCTTATGCCTCTCCCTGGCTCTGGTCCCCAAGCAGAGCGCTAGATCCAGCCCATCTCCCGGTGTCTGGGGGACTTTGCCCCTGCCTGAACTTTGTGACTAAGGCCCATCTCCAGTGATTGTGCTGGCAACGTGCCACTTCTTGGATCCCTACACTCCTCTTCTAGTTGGACTTCAGACCATCCTGTCTGACGTGATACAGCTGGGGCACTGGCAACACTTGGTTGAATGAGAAAGTAAAGTCCAACCACACTGACCTAGCACAGGAGCTAACCATGCCTGTGCCAGCTGTGCTCTTCCAGGAGGCAAGCGAGAGCTGACTGACATCTGAGGAAGGGCTGGCTCTCCTTTTGCTCACAACTATTCCAAGCATTTAGCACGACTATCAGCCTCCCTGAGCCACAGGCAAATATTTAATAGGATCCTTTGCGTAGCCTTTCTGCGTCAGCAGCTTTTTAGCAGAGGATTTATAGTGGCTGGGCTGCCAGGTGGTGTCTCGGTGCCAAACCAGTGAAGAGGAAGTTGGGAGCCTTCACACTGCCTAAGATCTCAGTTGTAGAGTAACTGGGTGAGTGGCAATGTGCACTGAGAGTCCTTAACATCAATCAGCTCCTGAGCCTGGGCCAGACAGAGCCCTCCCCTCTCCCCCGGATTTAAGGGATTGTCTGTATGCTGGAAGAGGAAGTTTTATGTGAAACCACCCTTACAACAGACGGGCCCTGTGTCTTAGGACACTCACTCTGGCCTGGGACCCAGGAAACCTGGATCGAAATCCTGTCTCCACCATTGGAGACACTGGGTTGCTGAGTCACTTTGAGCAAGTCATTTCCCCTGCTCAGTTTTCCTCATAATGGCGCTGACCTCCTTTGTCAGCAAAGAGGCCATTGACTGGAGGCTGAATTCTCTCCCTCGAGATTGTTCCTGCTTAGGTTGAGATATGTGGGGAGAGTGATGTAAAAGGCAACTTGCGATACTATTGGCTCTGCTTTCTGGTGGTGAATAAAGAGACGGTTTACATTGTATGTCTGAGCCACCACATTCCACAGATGTTAAATTGTGAGTAATTGACTAATGAAATAGTTGATACCTTTTGCATCGACTGTGCAATTAGTCGATAGGGCACCTCTGCCTTTGAAGTGTAGCAGGAGCCTAAGGCTGTTGCTATACTTCAAAGGTGAAAGTGCCGCATGGAGCCTAAGGTCAGCTGGGGACTCCCTTGCTGATCCTCAGCTCCCTGCGCTGCTGCCACTTGAAATGCTGCTGGGGTGTTTCAAAGCGGCAGCACCTGCACTGAGCCTAGGATCAGGTAGGGGGTTCCCAGCTGGCCCTGGACTGCACGGGGCTTTTCAAAGCAGCAGTGCCACATGGAGCCCGGAGTCTGGCCCCAGGCTTCAAGCAGCACTGCCTCTTAAGTACCCTCTCTTCTTCCCCCTTGCTTGCTGCCTCTATTTGATAGAGGCGGTTATTTGATAGAGACTCTATTTGATAGAGGCAGCAAGGGGGAGGCGGAAGCGACTAATCGACTATCCTGTTGACCCTCTGATAAGCATTTGCTTATTGGATAGTCAATTAGTTGACTAATCCTTCACATCCCTACATTCCAGTGGACACCAGCACTTTAAAAAAGGCCTGTTACAGAATTGCTATGAAGTATGCACAAAGATGTCTATCAAGTACCAAACTGGTGATCATGCGATCCCACTCCATGCAGGCCAAGCCCATTCTATGGAATAGATTGCCGCACACTGGCATGGTTTGTGGAAGTGGAATGTGACAGAGAAAAAAATTCTCCATTACATTGGTTCAGCCCCACTAGACGACCCGGTTGCTAGGTGAGGACTCCATGGGAAATGTACCAACATTCTGATGTTATACATAGCAGTTCTTAGGCCTCAGATTCTCTTCAGCCTAGCCTGCATGGTGGAGCCTAACACTGCATAAGTCAGAGTCTAGGCACTGTTAGAACCAGGCTCACCAGTTCTAACACCTTAGCAAAAGTGTCAAGGGTAGCTGTGTTAGTCTGTAACTGTAAACGCCTAGTCTGGTAGCACCTTAGAGACTGAAAAACATATCTATATAGTATCATGTGCTTTCGGGGGCAAAACCCAGATTCAGTACTCCCCCTCACCCTGAGGCTACACAGTCTTCGGAGCTGTGCTTTGACAGCCTCCTGCTTCCACCGCTCAGACAAGAAGAATGCAGGAAGCTCCAGTGACACAGTCCATGTAGTCCACATGCCAATAGGAAGCCCCCAAGAGCAGCATTTCAGGAAACCCCTTGCAATTCTGGAGAGTCTAGCAACCAGCACCTAATTATTGAATCCACATATGTGGCACACAAGGGTTCCCCACCCAAATAGCTGACCTAGGGTTGTCTGATTAGAGTGAAGTATTAACATGTGCTGAGGGAAGGAGTCCTTCTCTGCTGTTTATAAAGCAACACTCTCTTGTTGGGGAGTCACACACTGACTTAGCAATAGGGCTGTATCAATGCAGCCTTGTTGCTAAAAGCTGTGTAGTGTAGACATACCCTCAGGCTATGTCTACACTGGCAGGTTCTCACACCAGAAATATGCAAATGAGGCTAAGCATGGAATATCACTGAGCCTCATTTGCATATCTAATGAACCACAATTTTTGCAGAAGAAGCTCTTGTGCCAGAAGGAGCTGTCTACACTGCCCCTTCTTGCGCAAGAAACATCCTCTATGCTGATTATTTTCAGGAATAATGGCATTGTGCAAGAGGGTTTTTCTTGTGCAAGAAGGGGCAGTGTAGACAGCTCCTTCTGGCACAAGAGCTTCTTCTGCAAAAATTGTGGTTCATTAGATATGCAAATGAGGCTCAGTGATATTCCATGCTTAGCCTCATTTGCATATTTCTGGTGTGAGAACCTGCCAGTGTAGACATTCATACCCCCTTAGCAGCAGTTAGGCTGCTAAAGACCAGGCTATGATATGCACAATTTGCTGAGTTACTCAGCCCCTGCATGTGAACTGATTTGTGAGTGACCTCCATCTGTTACACAGAGGTTTGGCAGAGAGAGGGTCACAGTGAAAGAATGAAAAGGCCATGGAAAAAATCCAGCAAATGCACTTGGATAGGTAATGTGAGGCAAGCAGAGGTGCCAGCTCCGTAGCAGCTCATTTAGTTCCCTGGAGCTATTCTAAAATCAATTATGTAAGTTCATGCTCCACCACATTCTTTGACAGCCGACTGGTCTTGCTGGACTAGAAAGCTGCATCTAGACTGACATGATTTTGCGGAAATACTTTTAACAGAAAAGTTTTTCCATTAAAAGTATTTCTGCAATAGCGTGTCTGGATTGGCATGGATGCTTTTGCACAAAAAGTGCTTTTGTGCAAAAGCATCTGTGGCCAGTCTAGATGCAATTTTGCACAAGAAAGCCCCAATCGCCATTTTAGCCATCAGGGCTTTTTTGCACAAAACGGTTCTTCTCTGTCTACACTGGCCCTCTTGCGCAAGTATTCTTGCACAAGAGGGCTTCTTTCCAAGCGGGAGCGTGAAAGTATTTGCACAAGCACTGATTTTGTACATTACAAAGTCAGTGTTCTTGCGCAAATTCAAGCCGCCAGTGTAGACAGCTGGCAAGGTTTTGCACCCAGCTGCTTTTGCACAAAATCTTGCCAGTCTAGATGCACCCTTGGTTTTTAGGAAGGTTTTGTACCCCACAGAAAGCAAGCTCACATTTAATAGCCAACTCCGATCCATACCCCAGCTCACGCCACACATAGGATGGTACTTTTTACCCAAGCATGAGAGTCACATTTGAACTACTTGATACTCCGCTCCTCCACTTCTGTGAGCATCCTGCATTGCCTTCCCAAGTTCTTCCCCCTTTCACTAGCAATACAAGTGACTTCATTTACTGCACCAGTAAGCAGAGGTCAGTCCCAGGAGTCCTTGTGCCTCATCTGAGTGATTTTTGTCCTAATATGGATACACATCAATGGACACTTGGATAAGGCCTTACTGTGTGGCCAAGACCACCTTAGGTGCTCACAATCAAGTGTGAATCACTGATATAAGGATATGCCCATTCCTGACTTTTTTGTTCTTAAGTGTGGGGCCAGTAATTTCAGCTACCACCTGGACATTCTTACACAGACTAGTTTTTCAAGTGACCATTATTCCCTCACCCCCACTTCATACCTTTCTCTAGGAGTCCAGTCCGCTACTTTAGACATGAGTTTAACCAGGTCTGGCTCCTATCTGTCTAAAGTGATCAAGATTTCACTAGCACTAGTGGTCAGGAAGCACAAGTAGATGTGCTGCTCTCATCACTCGGCAGCAGCCACCTCATTAATATAGGTCCTGGAGCACCATGCCAATTCAAATTAAGATGCCAGTGCAGACAAGGCCTATATAAACTGGGGATTGTTAATAAAGTTGGGTTTCAAAAGGTGTGGGTTTAAAGGAAATAGTCATAGTTGGGTAGCATCTCTATCCCCAGGGCTTGACAAACTGCAGCAAAAGCCACTTGCCAGCTCTGCACATGCGCAAGTGCCAGAGCCACCAGTAAACAGGGCACCAGGCTGAAGTCTACTCACCATCCCCTCCTGCTCAAGAGGTGTGTCCTGATTGTGAATTAGCCAGTTATTTCCTACTAGTACAAGTATTAGAAATTTAGATTCATCTGACTATGGCATCTCCTTAAACTCTCTCCAAGGGCTACTGCATGTAGTTACTATGCTCCTTCCAGCATTTCCCCCACTACCAGAAGAGAGCAGCACTGTTTGTTGAAAGGGGGTAAAGCAAGCACAACACTAGTAGAGTTGGTTCTTAATGTTTTTTTATTTCATCAGATTTATTTAAATGGAGTGTCTGAAATAAAAACATTTGAGTCCCATCAACAGGGGAATGACTTGACAGACAGGTGAGCACGGCAGCTGCCCTTTGCCAACCAGTAGATACCAGTTGTGATCAATTTTTTTTTTTTAATACACAGTCCATGAATGGTCAGAGTAAGTTACATAATACAACATGCCAGTTCACATGAGGAATGAATTAAGTATACTTCTTGATTTCATCATACAATACTAAGACAAAAGCACCACCCATTCCTCTGAGTACATTGGACCATGCACCCTTGAAGAAAGCTTTGGACCCTTCATCACGGGCAATCTTTCGCCAGCAGTCAATTGTACCAGAGTACATGATGTCAGCTGTGGAAAGTAAAGACACAGTCAGCAAGAGGCATCTCAGGGTCACAATCTAAATCCAGGTTAGCAGTGGCTCAGCAAGGCTAACATCCTTGAATTAATTATATTTAACTTGAACCAGTTAAGTGCCTAATAACAGAGCACATCAGAGACCAGAACGAATGATCTTTTACTACACTTACACCACTAAAACATCTCACATCTATATGGAGCTAGAATGTACAACAAATTCTTGCCTGTCAACAGCAACCACACTAAGCCCTCAAGTGCTGGGGTTTACCAGCATGTTTTAAAGGCAAGTCTTTACTGCAAGTCATCCCAGGAGATATGCTGCTCTACCAGCATCCTCATAGCTTATACTAGAAGCACCATCATCTACTGGGATTTCTTCTTTAGCTTGTTTATATTGACAAAAAGCATCTGGATATATTCTAGCAAGAGGGCTTCATGGTCTCATGGATCCATAAACTCAAAGCTCTAATCCTAGTCCAGCCAGTTACTTGTAGCATGGTCTTGGGCAAGATGCTGTTCCTCCTGTAAATGGAGATCATCTCTCACCGGACCATGGGGAGGTCTAGTCCCTGGAGCAGTATAACTGCTGAAGAACTAAGATGACCTGGCTAGCCAGGATTTCCTTTGATGCCAACATCCATTTACAAGACCCACTTCTGAACCCTGAAGTCCTGCCTGACCAAATGCCAGGCTTTGGAACACAGATGTAGAGGTTCCTGCACCCATCTTGCATCTCTGGATATAGAGGTGTTTCTTTGAGAATGCCCACCCCATTATATTCTAGTTGGGAATTAGAAACCTACTTCCTTTACGCCCTGACTGCATCATCATCCGACGGCGTACAGTATCAAATGGATAGGAAGTCAAACCCGCAACAGCGGTAACTGTCTGAGCAATCATCCAGCTGATGATGATGTGGGTGTTCTTTGGGTCAGGAAGCATTCCTATGGAAGGGAAGAGAGCAGATTAAGAACACCAAATCATTGTATGTTAACACCAAAGTAAATAATTTTTCTGCATTACAATCCAGTGTTTGGCCTAAAAGTCTGTGCTGCATTTTAGGAAGTTAACTCAAAAGACCTACCCTTAGCAGTGTCATAGATGCCAAAATAGGCTGCTCTGTAGATAATGATGCCCTGCACGGACACATTGAAGCCTTGGTACAGGCCCTTAAGACCATCAGACCTGAAAATCTTGACTAGGCAGTCACCAAGACCGTTGAATTCTCTGTCTGCTCCAGCTTTACCCACATCAGCTGCCAGACGAGTACGGGCAAAGTCAAGAGGGTAGACAAAACAGAGAGATGTAGCACCAGCAGCACCACCAGAGGCCAGGTTGCCGGCAAAGTAACGCCAGAACTGGGTTCTTTTATCGACGCCACCCAGGAAGACCTGCTTGTATTTGTCTTTGAAAGCAAAGTTGAGGGCCTGAGTAGGGAAGTATCTGATCACATTAGCCAGGTTGCCACGCCAGAAGGACAGGAAACCCTGCTCTTTGGGGATACGGACAACACAGTCCATGATGCCTTTGTATTGCTTGTCTACTGTAATCTGTTTGCTTGCATGCTGCACCTGTAGAACAGAGAAACAAGCTAGATTAACATCTCACCATGCTGATAAAATTACAAGCCTGAAGATCTGGATTTATGAAGTTTTCATGATTTTTATTAGTTAGAAATGCATAATTCAAACTGCATTTGACAATTAAGCCTCTGATTCCAGGGTCTGGATAGACACACTGAAAAAGCCTGTTATGAAATAAAATGAGTATGGTTTTATGAAGATAAATTACTAGTAAACAAGAATGAATATAAGATTAAGTGTGGGTCACTTAAATTTGGTTAAGACTCAAGATAGAGAGGTTTTTTTAAACTTTGATTGTTATGACTAGGTGCGGAAGGATTACATTTACAAAGATCAGCAATGTAAGAAAAATGCCATTTGAAATCTCATTTTGAGATACAAATTGCAAAGTATCTTCAAGGAAGCATCAGTGTTCATGATAAGGCTTTTACTTTCTGAATCTGACTACTGTCATTAAGTAAGTGTGTGACCTATAATTTCCTTGCAATGGTGCAAACTTAAATTGATAAAATAAAAATGCTTATGATCAATATTGTCCCTCAAAAAAAAAAAAATCAAAGTTTGCCAAGCCTCATCATAAAAGTGTCATTAAGCATCCTAGGCTGCCTCAGTGAGAACTGTCACTGTCCTCTAGCAGATGTCAGTGCAATAGATTCTTGGAATGGATAGAAAGGCTGAGTGCTGAATTCCAAGGTGATCACCTACTAGTCCTTTGACCCAGAAACAGGAAGTGCTCTTATCTTAGGGTGGAGTGTTAATAAAGCCCTTTCTGGTTCCATTTAGTTCTGCAAGGATTTTCCGGAGCAACCCTCCTCAGAACACTCCCAGAGGTGAAAGTCAGCGGGTGACGAACTTTTTTTTTTTTTTTAATAATTGCTTGGCAGCAAGAAGGCGCACCTACTGGGCGACAGCCAAAAGAACGTCTTTAGAGTAGAATTACATCCCATCTTTTTTCAAAAGCAAAATATGCGTTGCCACATCGTATTTGTTCCCTATTCTCCAAGAGGCAGCAGTCTGCCTGATCAGAACTGCGCCCTGTAGAGAGCAAAGCCAAGGTAGCAGCGTGTCTTTATCTTTTGGGAGGAGTTGGGCCTGGAAGGTCACCGGGCCGCTCTATGGCTTTCCTCGGGCTAGATATTGCGTCGGCCTGCCTCTGCCTGCTGGTTTTAGCGCCCGACGCGTGGCAGCGGTGCCCAGCTGCG